TTTCCTCAGTTGTAAGGTATTCAATTTTGCTTTTTGTTGCTGTGATAAAACACTGACCAAAACCAACTTGGGGGAGGAAAGGGTTTATTTGGCTTACAAGTTACAGTCCATCATTGAGAGAAGTCAAGGCAGGAGTGCAAGGCAGGAGTTTGAAGTAGAAATCATGAAGGAACACTGCTTAGTGGCTTGCTCCCTGACTCACCTTCTGTTATCTGTCTTATGTAGCCCAGTCCCCAACCCCCATGACACCATTCACAGTGTGTTGGACCCTCCTACATCAATTAGCAATCAAGAAAATGCCCCAGACATGCCCACAGGCCAGTCTGATGGAGGAAATTCCTCACCTGAGGTTTACTCTTTCCAGGTGTGTCAGGTTGACGTCCAAGGTTAGCCAAGGTTCACGAAAAGACAACAAACAAAACAGTAACAAAAAACAAACTGCTGCTGAAACACTTCCTCGAAAGATATGAGAATTGATAAATTACATGTGTGAATCTCTCTGAACATAATAGATTATCTATATCTTAAAAAATAGACCTAATAAGATCGCCCGTATAGGGTTATTAAGAAAAACAAATGAGGTAATGTGTATAAATTGATCAGAACTGGACTGCTGGACTACACAGAACTTGAGGTAAAATAAAGCACCAATTAATGCCTAGAATGGTGAAGTGGAGCATTAAAACTAGAGCTCAGCACTCAAGAGGCTAGCAGAGGTCAGCAGGTGCTTAGCATGCTTGCATTAGGCTGGGTATCAGTGTGCTTCTGCCCCATTCCATGGCAAGGCACCTGAGGGCTCTGGTTGGCCATAACTGAGTAACTCGCTGGCTCATTAATCTGTTCCATGGGAACATGGCCCCCCAAAGTCCTTCTCTGTGCAGTGAATGACAAGGAACAGAAAGGATCTGGTCTACCCCACATCCAGGTAAGCCCACTCCCATCTATTCAAATCAAACTATAAGCTCCTTGGGTTTAGTTCCCTTCAAGTATCTCTTTCCAAAGCTCTTGTAACATGACAGGTGCTGTGTGGGAACTGAGGAGTCATAGATGAAGATGATATGCTCCCCATCCCAAAATGCTCAGGGACTCTGGGAGAGACACAGGAGGCAGTGAGGAATTTCAAGATGGAACATGCCAGACACTGCAAGGAGAGTAGAGGTGGCATGGTGTGTTGTGCTTTGAATGTGAAATGTCCCCTCATTAGGTACGAATGCTTGAATACTTGGTTCCCCAGCTGATGGCACTATTTGGTGAGGTTGTGGAATCTTTAGAAGGTATAGTTCAGGCTGGCCTCAAAATTATAATTTCAACATTCCCACCATAAAAGGGTGGGATCAGGGAACGAATACTAGAGGAAGGGAAGTCCTAGCTGAAATGTGAAGATAAATTAACATTGCGTGGCAAAGTTCAGAGGAAAGAAAGGAAGGTGGAAGGGCAGCCAAGGCAGATGAACAAAGGCAGGGAAGCAGCCAGCTGTGGTGGAATATACCTTCAATCCTGGCATTTAGGATTCTGAGGCAAGAGAATTGCAAGTTCAAGTCTAGCCTGGACTATGTAGTGAAACCCTGTCTCAAAAACCAAAAATAAACCAGGCATGGTGGTGCATGCCTTTAATCCCAACACTCGGGAGGCAGAGACAGATGCAGAGGCAGGTGGAGCTCTGTGAGATTGATGCCAGCCTGGTCTATAGAAATAGACAAAACAAAACAAAAATAAAACAAAACCAAAGTCATGGGAGCAATTCTGGGCAACTGGGGGTCCTGGAACTGGGGGAGAGGTGGCAGATGAAGCTGGCAACCTGGGCTGAGGATGCTCTAGAGTGCAGTGAACTGTCTGAATCCTCACCCATGGCTTCACAGCAAGGCTCCAGGCCTGGTCATGTGTACCACCTCAGTCACTGAAGGATGAGGGAGAGGCTAGGCAGGGTGACTGATCCCACTTTCACACCTGAGCTGTAGTGTACATGAAGTCACCTCCCACACAGCCAATAGAGCTTCTCCGAATCATGTAGCTCCTAGAAATATGATGCCTTGACCTGGTCTAGAACATTCTCCAGCTCTGCTGACTGTTCTAGATAAAGAAGACCAGGACTGAAACTGAGTCAGCAAGGCTGACCTGAACAAAGTTTACCCAGAACCAGGAGATGCCCTGGGAGGTAATATAAGATGGGTTGTGCCCACTTGTTCTAAGCCTTCCTGTCCAGCAAGCAGGTCTGTCCATGACAGGTTCATATACAGGGAGCTCATCCATAGTGCTGAAGTCACAAAGTTGTCACAGGGCTGGTGGGCTTTACTTCCCCTCAGGCTCAAAAAGCCAGGCTGCTCCTTTCACAGCCTCACAGTAGCTGGGACTATCCCAACTTCACTGCCAGAGTTGTGAATTGGTGGGCTGGAACATGATGTGGGCTGAGCACTTGGACACGCCTGAACATCAGACCAAGCCAACTAGAATCACATAAGAAACATGAGGCTAGGAAAGATAAGGTGGCAAACAGGATGTTTTAAAGGTAGCTAAGCAGATGGCACTAGAAACAGCTGACTGTTGAAGCACAGTACCAATAAAAGGTGTAGTTTGTTGGGAGCTTTTTATTTGTAGGCTTTAAAAAAAGAAATGTTTCCTGTTCTATGTAACCAACAGATTCCTCAAGCAACTCCCACGAGAGATAATGCAGCCTGGTGTATGCGGGTGGGTCCTTAAATATTTCTTCAAGCTTGCTTCCCTCTTCCATGTTAATAGCCAAGTTTCCTGGGGGGTAGAGCTTCCCTGGGCTCCCTTGAGTTGGACTATTTATCATGGCAGCAGCTGGAGATAAGCTGGACACAAAGAGAATTTGTGTTTCAAGAGGGTCAGTCCCTAGATACGGAGAGCAGAGGAATTTTCTCATTAGTAGGAAGTCAGTGGTGGGAACTCTGGGCTTTCATCATGCACCCCCCCACCCCCACCCTGAACCCCGTACAAATGGCAGTGGGGAGGAAGGCGTGCTGCAGGGGTAGAGACCTCCACAGGGCTTTCACTGGACAACTAGAAGTTTCCAGAGTGGGCATTCTTAGAGCTAAAAGGCAGACATGCCATTTGTACTTAGGAAGTAGTTAAGTTTGTCCATAGGAGCTATCTGGACTTAATGAATTGTTCCTACTCCCAGGAGAGCCACAGTGCAGTGGGGACACTTCCCATGAGGCACCCTAAACCAAGGTGGGTCTGGTGGGGAGCACTGGGGGACCCTGATGGCCAAAACTTCAGAGATAGTTACATAATCATTGTCAGGCTGGATTGAGAAACCCAGAGGCATGGGGATGGCATGAGGCAAACAGAGCCAAAGCCCAGAAAGTTCCTGGACATACCTCATAGGGATTCCAAAATTGGAGCGCACACTGACCAAGAAGGAATTCTCTGAACTGCAGAAAGTATCTGGGGTACAGTCCTAGAAGCGTTAATTCCATCAAGGTTTCAATGTCAGCTGGGGTTTCCCATCAGCACTGCACAGACCCAGGAATGAAGTGGAGCTCTCGACGGCTCTGGTGGAGTGTCAATTTCCTTTAGCTGTAAGCTCAGAGGAAATGGGTGCTCTTGCAGCTGACATTAATTGGCCTTCCTGGGTGGCTACCTATGCTCTACAGCATACCTCATTAGCGTTATACCTGCAGGGCAGGCGTGATGGCACCCTTGTCCACTGTCAACAGGGTAAGAGAGCCCTTATCACTTCCCACCAATGTCTGACTAAAAATGCACACCCTCGCCCTGCCCCAGTTTCTACACCAGTGGCTTAGCATTGAAAAAGTGACACACGCACATCCATTTCAATCCTTTCGTAGGCGAAAAATAACAACTCTGTATAATGGTGGGAAAGGAGGGCATGTAACAGGCACATTTCACACCTGAATTGATGAGGGAAGCAGATCCCAACACCATCCAATGGGAGAGGTCGCCTAAAGAATGGTCACTGGAGCACACTATTAAGGAAAAAAGTTGCTATTGTAAGTATTTTCAATGCCTTTGCCCATGCATGGAATACTGCTGGGCTGGTTTTGTGTTACTCCTGCTTCCTGGGAATAATATGTGTGCCCCACAGTGGAGCATGCAAGCTAATTTAGAAAGCCCAGTTTTTCTCATATTTCCTCTGAGAAACCATAAGGAGTGGAGGTCAGAACCTTCACCTCATGTCAGAAGTACTCCTGACATGGACACAGGGAACCTCCACCTGCTAGACTATAGACTCTAACGGGTTTAGCCCTGGCAGCAAAAGAGAGGGCTGGGCAGAAAGGACTCTGTCTTTCCCCTGTGGCAATGTGCATGGCTTGTGTGGACATACTTGAAGCTCCTTTCCCTTCCTGTTTTCTCTCCCCTTTACTCCTTTTGAGAAAGTCGAATCAGCCTGGCTGATTCTGGAGTCTACAATCTGACACTGGGTTAGATACAGCAGTGGGGGCAAAGGGGTTTCAAAGCTAACTTTTGTCCAATTCTCTTAATAAGTAAACATCAAGGGCTGTTCCAGTCCAATGGAACCATGGAAGCAATTTCCAAAACCTCAGCAGCTCTGGGTTTTTTGCTGACAGATATTGGTGCCAACTTCCTTTGAGGGAGCTTCTTTGGTTCCTCTGGGGAAGACCACACACATGAACACATAGCTCCATCCTTTTGTGGTAGAAGCAAGCTCTGGACTCCAGCTTGAATTCCTCAAGGAGCATCCAATGGGCATTTGCATTTATTTCCAGCTTCCTCCCAAGGAGGACTACACCTATGTATGTTATGTTGATGTCCCCAAAGCAGACACAGGTGGGGACCCTCACAGTGGTAAGCCAGTCAGTGGCATATCCTAATTCATCTTCATTACTCTAAGGGTCTCAAGTTGGACACTTGTTAACAGCTCCCTTGTTCCTCACTCTAACAAGCTTGCACAGCAAAATGCCAGAGACTCTGTACCCTTCCAGTCATCCTCCTGGACCCCAGGACTCTCCACCCATCAGAAGGAAAAACTCAAGCCAGCAGAGCACATGTTACCATTTTATTATGCAATTTCCTTCTACCAGAAAAATCTCTAAAAATATAAATATGAATTCTCTAAAAAATACTCAGAATAGATCTATAATCTTGTTCTTCCAAACAGGCCAAACTTGTTCTTTAAAAGCTGACAGATTACAAACATGTCTTCATATCTCCCACATATAGAACATTCACAGATACATTTCTTTCTCTGTTGGGTGGGAAGGGGTTGCCCCCTTTCCAGATTCTGAAAGGCCATCTTGTGATCTACCAGGGGAAAGCTATGGGCTGAACAGAGGTATACAATGGAGTTAGGTAGAAGTGGTGAAAGAACAAAGCTCTATAGCTCACACTTTCTTAAATGGACATAGAAGACAGGCCTTTCATTCCCCTTCGTTAGTCTGCTCCCATGTAGACCGAGCTAACCAAAGGCCAAGCTTCCAGAGGAGTTGGATTCACATTCCAGGAAAGTGGCTGACATGCTACAGTCTTACAGAAAGGTCAGACTATTGAGATGGACAGGAAGCCAGGTAGGGCACTGAATGGAAGAGCTGATGTGAGTCAAGGCCCTCGGCAGGATTTGTTCCTGCTGGTCCCTGGGCAGTACTTAGTCCCTAGCACCAGGCAATATCTGTAGCATCTAAGACTGGGCTTAGATTCACAGGGCCTCCCAAGGTAGCAGCATCACTCCAGTAGTGGGGAGATGGTCAAAATTCAGGTACCACCTTTAGGGGATGGTATAGGGTCCTACAGCACCTAATTCAACATCAGATGAGTCTAAAGTACTCAGAGGTGTCCTGGGACAACCTAATGGGATCTTTTGTGTAGTCCTGAGGGCCAGGAGTCCAGCAAGTCAAGGCTGGTGCTGTCTTAGGTTACCACATCATCCAGTCTCAGGGGAGGAGCTGATCCAAGAGGACAATCACCTCATGAACATCCCATCAGAGGAGCAAACCAAGGTCCTGGTATGGAGGGCTCGGATGATATTGAGCCTGCTCCCTGGTGCATGTGTAGAGTTTCCACCCCACACCTTCTACTCTGTATGTTTAGGGTGATATCCCAAACTGTTCTGGGAAAATCCACAGAACCCCAAATGCTAGTCCCAAGGATCTCTCTTTGACTTCAAGGTCAGATATCACATCCTTGGGATATTCTTGGAGCAGGGCAGGATCTACACATGTGCTAACAGTCCTGTTCACTCCACCAGGGCCGTCAAGTGCCTGGATGCATGTATCTTCATCTGCAAGGAAGATACAGGACTTTGTGGAAAGCATAGGATGAAGCTTTGCTTTCTAGGGCAATGGAAGACAGGGTAGAGGAGGAGGAGGAGGTGGAAGGGTACAGATGGCTAAGGACACGCAGCTACTTAAGGCAACATGCAAGAAGGCACCCACATCCTAGGGGGCCTGCTGAGGCTCTCCACTCTATGGGAGTTAGCTCAGATGTTTAGCAGACAGGGTTGGAAGGAAAGCAGCAGCTTGGTGAACTAGGAAGTCCTACATGCCCCTGATCTCATGGGTGGGAAGCCAAGCAAGGAACAGAAAAGGGGAGGCCACAGAATGAGGACAAGAGGACTGCTGCGTGGCCTGCCCTGTCTGGATGTACCATCTCCAACTCCATCATGGGGCCCTGACCTCCCTGTTCAAGAAAAGAGTTGTCCTCTTCTTCCTGCAAAGGCCCTTGTGGCTGGGATCACTATAAGGTTCTCCTGGCCACAGGAAGACAGCATGATAGGGCCCCTGGAGGGAGAGAGGAACACAAAGTGAGTTAACTCAGAGGGCAGTCACCAGTCAAGGGTGGATAAACCTTACTGGTTCCTTTCACAGATGCTAAAGGCAGACGCAGAGGAGAATAGGGACCAGGCTAGAAGCCCCTCCAGGCAGGCCCGGTACTGCAGGAGATTCAGGCAATTTCAGCACAAGCACAAAGCCCCTTCTGCTTAATGACGGGTGCTTTGCTTCCATGGTCCTCACCGCATTCCAGTCTCTCACATGCTTCACCCTGGCTTTCACACTTACCTTTCCCAGGCCCTGGCCCTGCCTCACCTCTCGGTGTGGGGTGGCCTGAAAAGCCGCTCTGATTTCCAATGATGCACTTCTCTGTCCTGACTTCACACTCTTCCATGACCTCTGCTCTTGGCTCTCATAGGACCACACCTTGGTCTCTGCTCTAACCATCAGATCATGCGCTACTGCTTCTGCTGGGGCCTGCCTAGCCCTGTCTTCACACACACAGCAAGGAGCCTCAGCACAACTGCTCACACAATCATCCCAAGTGCTTCTCCAGATGGGCGGGGGACATATCTGAACTGAATGGGGAACCTCTGACAACCCTAAGTGACAAGGTTCAACCTCTGTGGAAGCCCTCAAGGTCTCACGTCTGGGAAACGCCTCCTTTGGCTCCACTCTGGGAACAGAGGAAAGATAGCAGCCAGGGGACCATGCTGTCTTGAACCTGGAGGAGTCATGACCAGGCTGCAGTCAGGGTGTAGCTTTCCAGGCAGGTTCTGTCATTAAGCCAACCCATCATTCTTCCAGTCTTGCTTTCCTCAAGGCAGGGAGCCCCTAGGCCACCACAGAGGAGAGACACAGAACCAAGACTTGGGAGGGAAAAGAGTAGACAGCATATGGGTCTGAGTAGACAGGCAAAGAGAATTCCTGCCAGATCCATCCTCCTGGGCTGGTGTCCCTGTAACTCAGTGGGAAGCTGGGACAAACTTGTGGGTGGATGGGCTCCAGCAGCCAAGGTTGCAGCCAGCACCAGAGCAGCTTTCAGAAAGGCAGGATCTGGGATGGCACCCAAGGCCTTCTGCCACTCTGAAGACTCCTTAACACTATTTGTGGCCTTCTGGCCTTTCAACACCTTGGGCAGAGTGTGGGCTCTTTTGTGTCTTGTACAAAGAAGGTGAGGGCATGGCAGAGTTGGGACAAAGTGTGCAGTGGAGGTCAAAGCACAGTGAAGAGGGTGCTCAGTAGAGAAGACAGAGGCATTACTCAAAGGATAGCAGGTCTGGGTGAGGTCCCTCATTGTCAAGGCTTGAGGTCCGTGCCTGAGGAGGGAGGGTGCTATCCTCCCAGGACTCAGCCAGGCTGATGGGGCTCAAGCTGAGTTTGAGGCCATTCCTCTCGATGGGGCCTGGGGAGGAAGCTCTTCGGTACTCTGTCGCCTTTAGCTTGAACTCATCCTGGCTGTCCTTGTGGATTAGGTCAGGTACTGACAGGGACACCTCACCATTGGGCAGAGCTTCACCCCTATCGCTCATTTCAGTGGTGGACTCTGGATGTGAAGTGTCTGCTGAGATGGGTGGAACAGTAGGTGGAGAGTCCTGGGGCTGCCCAGGTAACAGTTCTGTTCCATACTCCAGACTGCTTAGGACTGGCTGTGATGAAATCAGCATGTCCTGTGTGGTCTTCAGGGCCCGAGGGGTTCGCTTCTTGGTTATGGGAGGTGGAGGATCCAGCCGAGGGAAGGCTTCTTGGACTGACCTGGAAATCCATGACAATGAATACACACTGTGGTGTGACACCAGTCTAAACACACTTTCCATTCTCTCTTCTACCTACACCTTTAACCTGTCTGTTCAGTAAGTGCTTCCCTTGTTGGGCTCTCACTGTGGGTTTAGGGTATAGATCTTAGCATCATCAGCACTATAGTTAGCTTTGGGGCTGTTCCTGCTCAGTGTTCAGAGCAGCAGAGAGAGTTGCCTCTGGAAACAGGACAGAGATCACCAGGGAACTGAGTCATCTCAAAACTTAAGCAGTGAGCCTAGGAAGGGCATATGCACTCAGAGGCATAGGTGTTTGAACCAAGGCCTAGAAAGGAGCTGTTGGATGGAGATGGAAGAAGTCACAGAAGATCTCAGTTTAGGGAGGCAGTTCTCAGACATGGCTGGACATCAGAATCTATCTGGTGAGCTTTTGGGCAATAGCAGGGTTCAAATCCAATTCCAAATACTGTGTGACCTCAAGCTACTCACTTTACCTTTCTGAACTTGGGTCATCTCAAAACAGATATATCCAAAGCTAGGAGTGGTGGTTCACACCTGTAATCTCAGCACTTAGGAGATAGAGTCAAGTAAATGACCATGAGTTTGACGTCAGCCTGGGTTAGCTAGTGGGTTCTAGGCCAGTCTGGGCTACCAAATGAGACAGTGCTAAAGACACAGCAGACACTCAGGAAGTTTTTTTTTTTTTTATGGTTATGGAGGCATAAGCAGGCTCACATGAACATAGCTCCATTGCTGTTTTTCTTTACTTGAGAACTGCTCATCCCCTTCTCAGGTATGCTAGCCCTTGGACACACTGTAGTTTGTCCATATACCTAACTCTCTTCAAGAAGGATGTTGGGCAGGTGAAGGACTCACCTTTCATCCTCCAGCCAGGCTCCACAAGCTGCATCTTCCCCACTAGCCAGCTGAGCCCCAGCTGTCTTGTTGATCTCCATCACACCTATGTTGCTGAGACTCGAGGGCTCCTTTCTTCGCAGGAGGTCATTGACCTTGGCCCCCATTGCTTTGCCCAGATTTTTGAAGTGTTGGCTGCTGCCCACCCTCAGTCCTGGTCCTCCTGGCTCAGTAGAGCCTGGGATGGCAGAGCTTGGGGCTGTATGTCTGGACAAGTGAGGGAAGGAGTGGCTGGACTGGAGCTTTGGAGTGAGGGCTGTGTTCAAATTCTCAAACATGCTGTGGTCAACTATGAACAAAGGGTAAAGAAAAACTCGTAAGTAGAGGAGATAGGAACCTGTACCCCTATCACTCAACTTTCCTTTTTTATATAATACCCAAAACTTTAAAGTCCACAAAAATTTGGAAACTTCCAAGAAAGAGTCAGTAAAGATGCTCTTAAATTTTCTAGGGAAGTTTTTTTCTCTGTGTGTGACTGACTGGACATGAGACCTGAAGTTCCAGTTGTGCCCCACCCCAGTTTATCAGTGACTGATTCCAGCCATAAATAGGCAAACTTATCCCTTTAAACAAACCTCCTTGACTCATGGCTTGACCCCTTTGACTTGGGGTCACCAGGCCCTTTGAAGCAGGGAAAATGAGGATGAAGCAATGAAATGTGACAGGTTTACACTGCTGGGAGCACATGCTGAGCTCTCTTTCTCAGGCACTGGGGACAGGGGCTGCTGCAGCAAGGGCAGGCGAGAGGCTCAGTATTGGAAGCCTTCCACTGAAAGCCACGTGTGTAGCACATTTTCTCCACAGAATATTAGCTAGCAGCTCCTTGTGTCTCTGGAAGTAGAACTTGGGAGAGTGGGTCAGCTCACAGGCACAGAGGCCAGACAGTCCATTATACCCAGGGCATATCACACAGACAGGAACTCAGTGCGAGTAAAGCATGAAGGTCCTCATTAAACCCCAGCTCACTTGATTCCCCCCAACAACCTAGTGAGGGGAGATAGGTAAGAAAGGGACTCAAGTGGTTAACGGTGGGCCTCAGTTCACAACACTAATCCTGGTGGGTTGGAACTAGAACTCAGGTCTTCAGACCCAGAGGCCAGAGCGCTTCCCTCTCCTTGGGTCATGGAACCGTTATGGCAGATGATGCTTTAGTGACCTTTCTATGGCTTGAACAGTTTGCTCAAGGGTTAGCTTACTGGATGGTAAACATTCCAAAGGCTCGGGTCACGCTTTATTCATCTTTGTGTTTGTGTCTCCAACACCAAGCTGCGGCTTGGTGCATAGCAGGTACTCAGTGAGTATCTCAAATCAATTGCCCACATTCACTTTGCAGGTGAGGAATTATGGAGGACAAGATGGCAGCCCTGAGGTCTGTTGTTGAAAGGGCTGGAGCTCTGGGCTCTATGCCACCCTGTTCACACACTTGCCCTCGGGCATCCTCTATCTGGAAACTCAGGTGGGTAATCAAGGCCACCTGAGTTGTCCATAGCCACTGCACTCTCTATCTTGTCTGCGGTGAGGAGAGGCTGCATGCGATCCCCAGGCTCTTCTCATTGTCAATACCTTTGCAAAGGGTCTGTTCTCAGTGAGCCTCTCCCAAGAATACCCGAAGCTAAGTCTTTATGCTTCTGTCTCATTTGCCCTGCACTGCTGAGTTCCAGGCCAGGCAGAGTGCTTCTCTTTTTGTGATTCCAGTCAAAAGATCCCAGCTTGGCCAACCACCTAGACACCTTGTATTTTGCAGTCCCTGGGTGGTGGGAAGAAAGTCATGGGGCACTCTCACTTTGTGGATGAGCTCCATGGTCTTCATTTTTGTAACTGACCTTGACCCATGGCACATTCTCTCCAAGGAGTAGGGGTTAGCAGTTTTTCAGTCTGCTGGGTGGAGCTACTGTGGGGTAAGAGGGACATGTCAGGGAAGTTGGAGTGCGGCATCCCTGCGGTACGGGGCTCAAGCCTGGGCTCCAGATGTGTGCCTACCACCCTAACAGAGTTCCCAGCCTACTCCACAGCTAGTGACAGGCTCACCAATTCCTGAGCATTCTCCTGAGTGTGGCTTGCTATGGTATCCTCTTTGACACAATTTGCCTATCATGATCCACCAACTTCTCACTTTCTTTACTCAGGTACTCTGCAAACTAGCAAAGTTTATTTGGAAACTAAATATTTTCACTATCGTCCCCAAATCCAGAAAGCATATGAACACTGAGAAATTGTATAAAATGCTCCACAGGTATAATGTTGGGAACAGCAAGTTCCCCACCATTTCCTAGATCTGATTCTTTCTGTGGTGGTTTCCTTATATTTTCAAAGTGGGCACACACACTCATTTTTAAAGGTGGATACACCCAAACCATCCATCAAAGTGATTTGTAAATTACAAGCTCCAGTTATTTTTCAAAGCACTTTAAAAAACAACTTGGTGATGTCTCATTTGGACTTCCTCTCTACCATCATAATGTAGTCTATAAAATAAATTCCTAAGCAATTTAAAGAGAGCTTAGTATATACTTTCTTTATAGTTATTCAGTATTTTTCTTGGAAATACACCTTGACTATATAACAAAATGGAATGTCCCTTATGGGGTTGCAGAATCTTAGAGTGCTTTTTGTCCTTTACACACCTGACTTAGGACTTGGAATAACAGCAAGCATTTAATAAGTAAGTTTAATTGAATTTGGCTTTTATAGGAAGTCTTAAAAATAGCTTCATAACAGCTGGGGCTGATACTATATGGATACTGCTCACAAGTTTGTATTCAGTTAAAAAAAAAAAAAAAACAACACTCAAACCTACTCGGTGGAGATAGTAGCCAGAGCTCTTGAGGTCAGACTAGCAGAAACTGTCTTCTCTGCAAAGTAGACCTCGGGCTGGAGCCTCCTTTATCCTCATATTCCAGGGATGCACAGTGAGCCCCTGTGTTGCTGATGAGCCCCACACTGTCCCTCCTGCCTTGGAGGCTTGGTGATTCAGAGGATGATGGTAATGGTAAGAAAGATGATTGGATCCCAGCTGGGTGATCCTCCCAACAGCACCCCCAGCATGCACATACCCAAGCAGAGGGGGCACCTGGGGACATAAGTGATACACAAGAAACAGGGTATCTTACCTGTCCAGAAAAGGGCTCAGAAAGCAGGTGGGAAACAAATGAGAGAAAGACACATTTATGTAGTGACCAACCGCTTTGAGAGTCATCTGAGCCACCAGCAACAGTATGGGAAAGGCTGTGTCCTACAAGAAGGGTGTTAACAGACACTGGGAAGACCAGTTTCCCAGGACCTCTTCAATAGCTAAGTCAAAAAGGGGTCATGTTTTTAAAAACAACAAATACGCACAAGTGCAGCCTCCCCAACTTGCCTCCAACATTCTGAGCCCTCTCAATAAGAACACTATCTCTCATACGCAGTTGGCAATGGGAACAATTCCAAGTCTCCTAGGTCCTGTGTGCATAGCTCATATGTGTGCTACTTCCCACATGTAAATCACTAGATTGCAGCTTGAAAGACATTCATCTACTCCAACTCAATCTAAAGGAACATGGAAAAGTCAGGTGGCACAGTCTGCCCACCATCACACAGGCAGCTAATGGAGGAAGACGATTCAGACTCATGCATCTCCACTCCAGACCCAGGAACTTGTTCTGTACCACAGTGACCCCAGTGAAATTGCCAACAACCTCAGAGGTGCCAAAATATGAAAGCACAGTTTACAGTATAAACATTCTAACATTCCAATCAGGCCATAGAGGAAAAAGAGGAGGGAAATCATGGTTCACCCTTTCCTTCAAATGTTTAAGTAAATGGGAATAAACACAGATAACTAGGCTTTTCTGGCTGAAGCTGAAATACTGAGCACAGATGTGTTCCATACCATGATCACTGCCAGGATGAAGGGGTGGACCCTCTTTCATACAAAGTGTAAACATATCTCCATTTACATCCCAAATACTGCTAGGTATCTAGTTGGCTGGTTGTGATGACCCAGAATGGGGCACATGTGGCTTCTCTTCCAAGTGTCAAATCATCTTTCATCCTTATTCTCCATCTCATTAGTGTGCCTTGTTATATGTGGAAATAAGGCCTGGAGTCTGTAATCGCATCAGCTGTCTTACAATGAGTAAAACGGGATGGCAGGAGCCATCTGCCTAAAAGAACATCAACCTTTAGAAACAATACATGGTCCCTAATCTTAGGAAATATACATTAAAGTATTTAGATGTAAAAGAATATAGGGTAACTTACCTTCAAATAGTTCAGGAAAAGAACGACCCCAATACATTAAGGACTAGGACTATCGCTCAGGGATAGAGCACTTGCCTAGCACGTAAAAGGCCCTGGGTTCTATCCCCAGCCCCCCCCCACATGTATATACATACATGGGGTGAGGTGGAGGAACTGATGATACAAATGGAATAAAATGTTAACAACAGAAAAATCTGGATACATGGTGTATGGCTGTTCTTTGTACTAATTTTAATTTTGTAAATTTTATAACTTGAAATGATTTCCAACAAATATATAAGATGCATGTCCTAAACAACAAAACCAGAAGCTAAAACACAACGAAAAGGGCTGGAGAGATGGCTCAGTGCTTAAGAGCACATACTACTCTTGCAGAGGGCCAGAGTTTGGTTCCCAGCACCCACATCAGGTGGCTCACAACCTCCTGTAACTCCAACTCCAGGGAGATCTGACAACTCTTGTCTCCGTCTCTGCAGGCACCTGGACTCTAAGGTACAATCTCCCCCCTGCTCCACCTCCCACCACATAGCCATAATAGAAAAAAATTAAAACAAAACATCAACAAAAAAAATCAGTGGTAGAGGCTGGGCAAAGAAGGGAGAAGACAAGGTGGTTGTTCATAGAGGACAGAGGGTCCTTGAGCTGGGAGCACATGAAGATGTCAACATAGAGTGACAATCAAAAATAGGGGACAAATGGTACCATCATAGCTCTACAGTATTCTTCCTTCTCTCTGAGTGTTCTTAGTGTGGACCACTGACTAATGAGAAGTCAAAAGAAAGAAAATCTGGGTATTAGCCCTTTGTCTAAAGAATAAGTGGCAAAGATTTTCTCTCATTTTATGGACTGTTTGCTCTGCTGATTTTTTTTTTTCTGTGCAGAAGCTTTTTTGTTTGTTTTCAGACAGCGTCTCCCTGTAGACCCAGTTGGCCTGGAACTCGCTATACAAACCAGGCTGGTCACCATCTCACAGAGATTCACCTGCCTCTGCCTCCCGATGCCGAGATTAAAAGTATGCGCCACCACACCAGGCATTGTGCAGAAGCTCTATTTCACATAGTCCCATTTGTGGATTGTTGACTATTTCCTGAGTTACAGGAGTTCTGTTCAGAAAGTTCTGGTCTACATCTTGAAGCAAATTCCCGACACTTTCTTCTAGCAGTTTCAGTGTTTAAGGTTTTCAGTTAAGCCCTTTGATCTACTTTGAATTGATTTTTGTACAGGGGGAAGATATTAATCTAATGTGATTTACAGAAATCTAGTTTTCCAGCACTGTTTATTGAACAGGATGTCTTTTGCCACTGCATGTTTTTGGCAACTTTGTAAAAAGGTAGGTAGGTAGTCACAGATTTGTCATTTTATTTCCCGTTCTCTAGTCCTCTATTCTGTTTCACTGATCTACCTGTCTATGGAAAGTATCCTATTGAACAAGATAGGGCCAGTGAGATGGCTCAGGGGGAAAGGCACTAGCTCCCACATCTGACGACTTGAGTTTGATCCCTAGACCCCATGTGGTGGAAGGAGAGAACTGACTCCTAAAGGTTGTGCTCTGACCCCCACAATGTACATACTTATGGCACATGTACCCCCCAGAAATACACAAAATAAATAAATGCAAAATTAAAAAATTTCTGACCCAAACTCAAAAAGACAGAAACTGCTTGTTATTTCATATATCTGGATCACAGCCTGTAATGTAATCCTGCATGCATATAGGTGGGTGTAATGTGGATAAAGCTTAAAGAATTAGAAAAGAGACCCAGAGAGATTAAAGAGAAATGTTAAGGGGAGGGCAAAAGGACATATGCGACATGAAAGCAGAAGGGTAAGGGGCGGTGCAGTGGTCTGTGGAGAGTCTTGCAAACAAAAGACTACATCCATCTTTCAAACCTGTAACCTAACTGGTGGATGGAATCATGTGACCTTGTGATGTCAGCTGTGCTCAGAATGTTTATTGCCTGGACAACCTGGCCATTTTCTCAGAGGCAGGTGTGTGACCTCCATACCCTGCAGTGGTCAGAACATGGAAGACTTCTCACTCCTCAGTATCTCCAGACCTCGAATCTCTTCCTCTGCTCTGAGTCCTTTTCCTGATATTGTGTCCTCATTTGCTACCAGCTTGCCAGGTAAATTATGATGTCATTAGTACTACAAAGATATGTTTGTTTCTTTTAAAAAAGTTTGAGCTTTTTTTTTTCCTTCATGATCTTATCAGATCATGTTACAGGACTATGATAAACCAAATTATATAGAAGAAATAATTTTTACAATACTGCATTCCTGGTAAGTCCTGTTATTTCGTAATCTCTGGCAAGGGAAGAATTGAGGAAACATGTCAAATTTCTTCTCTCTAGAATTTGCATCTGCATGAAATCTCAAGGTGGGGTCTCTACATACATAGTGGGTATTCACATTAGCTCTGTCTAGACCTAATCTTCTAGAGAAGAAATCATTAGTTGGTGGCTTAATAGGATAACTGATGAGCACAGAGAGGAACAAAGGTGGGCACATGAGGACTTGTCAGTCAAAGTGTGATTCCTGGATACGCAACATCAGCATCACCCAGAAGCCATTAGAAACACAGAATCTCAGACCTCCACCCAGACCCACCGGCTCAGAACAGGAGTCTCTGGGGGAGTCTCATGTAAATTTGAATTTTGGAAGTACTATTCTTAGGAGTTCTCCTAAATATGTATTTGCCTTTACATGGGACATTTATAAGTCTGTCCCACAAATAGCCTAGTTATTGCTTGGAGGGCAAGCACAGCCCCCAGCAGTGCCTCATGCACACTAGGTGAGCTAACCCCTAACTCTAGACAGGGATGAGCTTTTCTTAAGTAAATTTGTCATCTAAGAGTTAGCAGCTATTCCAGGGTACAGCAAGAGGCCACATGCCTCCTCTCTTGTTGAGCATGAGATGTTTCAACCGGGGAACCAGGATTCTCATCCTCAAAGGGACCATGCAGCATGGCTATGTGGCCTAAGACCAGGGCTTTTGCCCTGGAGCCTGTATCGCAGAGGCCTGTATAGTGTGTCACGCATGAAGAGCAGGAGAGTCAGATGGAGGGTAAGCCAAGCAGAAAGGTATCAGTTGGGCCAAGTCTTCACAGCAGTGAGGTTTGAAACCAGGACCTTAATGAATGCCAGGCAAGAGCACTACTGCTGAGCCACACCCCCAGCCTAGGCCAAGGCTTAAAACATCATTTCCAGAGGACCTTTCTTAGGCCTGAATAAAACAGCCTCATTTGTGATGTTCCAGAATGTTATCCAGAATAGCTCTGCTGAGGTTCAGAGGTCACTGTTTTGCTTCTGCTTTGAGATTTCTGAATGTACAGAAGGTGAGCTTCTAGGTATGACTTGGGGAGTCCCAAGAAGAGGACTCATGACTTTGCTCAGCTCACCACTCTTTCTTCTGTAACCCAGACATTGCAAAGACAGCAATACCCACTGAGGCTTCCAATCCAGCTCAGGCCCTGCCACCCCAGGACCAAAGCAGCGCTCTCCGGCATGGGGTGCATAGCTCAGTGCCCTTACCAGGTGAGGTCTTTTCCTATTCTGGCCAGGGACATATGAGAAATTGAAGAGGGATAGGAGATATGCTCCTAGGGGAAGGGTGTCTGTAAGTTCAGTCACTATGTCCTCAGTCTTTCCACCTGCAGCCTTCTTTAGTAGAGGCCCACAGGTCTGTGGAGACCTCTTGCTTCCCCCCTGCCCCATCATTCAAGTTCATGTGGAGAGGCAGTTTCTGTATGAGTGGGCTGTTACGGGATTAGGATGGGCAGTGCAGCTGAAAAAGCAGTCATAACCATTGCTGGCAGAAAGAGAGATTATAAGACATCAGATTTCTGGCTGTCTGCTAGGTCACCTGCCCTTGCTGATCTTTAGAGGAGTGAGAGGACAAGTATCTTCAGGCAGGGAAGGGCTTATCTCCTGCCCAGATATCGGATGGTCATTTTGCATCAGTGGAAAAAGAAGGAATGGCTGTCTTAGACTGTTCTCCCCATCCATCATTCACCTGCTCTCAAGCCACCATCAAAGTGCGGAAGAGGTCCCCTGAAGTCACACCTGACTGCTTGTCTTCTTGTTTCTCTGCTTCTCCTGACTGCCTCCAGCCATCTCTATTTCACTGCTCCCTGCCAGCAGCTCAAGGCTCAGACCCAGCTTTTTCCTTTGCAGATTTGAGGGACACCCAGAATGGGGAGCAGCTGCTGCGGAATTGTACCATCTACCGGCCCTGGTTCTCCCCTTACAGCTACTTTGTATGCATGGACAGAGAGAGTTACCTGGAGGCCTATGGGTTCCCAGATGTGAACCGGGTGAAGGGCAGAGGGGACAACTGCCTTATCGAGGATGTAACTGAGAGTGTTTGCTCATCTTCCTCCTCTGAAGAGAACACATACCCCCAGGAGGTCAACAAGAAATCCAAGCATGCTCTGGACTCTATCACATACCAGGATATCCTAATGGTCTCCAAGTGGCATCCAGCCCAGCAGAATGGCTTCAAGTGTGCAGCCTGCTGCCGCATGTACCCCACCCTGCACTCCCTCAAGAACCACATCAAGAGGGGTTTCAAGGAGGGTTTCAGCTGCAAGGTGTATTACTGCAAGCTCAAAACTCTCTGGGGCAAAGAGCAGAAGGCCCAGCCAGGAGACAGGCTCTCTTTGGGCCACTGCCAGGCCATCAATTAATTCTTCAGACACCTCAGGTAAATAGGGATGAAGCCTACTTATGTCTCTAGAGAGGTAACAATAAATTGAAGTTAGTCACAGCCATCTTTCGTAAGTCTGAAGTCACTGTCCACCATCTGCTTCCCTTCTTGGTACCCAGTGACTTTTCATCCCTTTCAGTTAGTGGTTGCCTAGCAACACCAGACCTACCTCCTTGCCACCATTTTTCTTTCTGTCTCTTAAGATAACTGCAATACCTGAAGTTTGGGACCATTCTCTAAGTGGTTGTCAAAGCAAAGTGCTCAGACCAGCAGTATTGGCATTCTCTGGGAATTTGTGAGATTCAATTCTTAGACCCCACTTGGACCTACTCAGTCAGAAACTATGGGGTGGGGAGTCTGGTCATCTGTGCTTTAACAACTCTCCATGGTGACTATGAAGAAGCTCAGATTTGAGAATCAGTGCTTCAGGACCCTGGCCTATAGGCTCAGTCCTTGTCCATCCTGAAGACCAAGAGGCAAAGAAAGAATCCCTGAGGTTAGAAAGCTTCCTAGATATTAACTTTTGAGGGGAAGGATGGGAAGATATTACACATCTGGGGAAGACAACATGCCCTTGAGCATAAATCAGAAAAGAGACAAGGAGGGTGGACCCATCCCCACCATCTGTATCTTTCTCACTCACTTTTAGAATGAATGTCTCTTGTTGAAGTGGAATAAAATCACATGGAACCCAAGGGACATCTTTTCACAACTGTTTTAAGTCATCAAAATAGACAGGTATTCATGTGACAATAGTGCATCCTATTACCACATAATGTGCCCAGTGGACAGCCCTTACCCTTACTGTGTATTAGGGCAAACCTCTCTGCTGATCTGAACCAGAAGATGGGTGAGCATCAGAGGCACAGCAAGGATGCCTATTTTGCCCATCAAGTTGTTTCTAAAATATTTTATTATTTTTGTTTTATGTGTATGAGTATTCTGCCTGCATGTATGTAAGTGCATCACATATGTGCAATGCCCAGAGAGGTAAGAAGAGGGTGTCAGATCCCCTGGAACTGGAGTTTGGATGGTTGTTAGCCACCATGTGATGCTGAGAATCGAACCTCTGAAAGAACAGCCCCCATCAAGTTTTTAAGTCTAAGCACTTGGTGGCCATATTTTAGGTCTCATTTCCCATTGTCTTCACCTCTGATGACCCAGTGGGATTTGCTGTTGAGAACTGGGTATCAACCCTCTCTTAATCTTTGCTTCCCTCAAGAGTAGATCAATGTGTATGGGGTCTCTCCTCTGTTCCTTTGTCCTTCCCATGATGCGCAATAACTCTTCCTGGAGCCAGAGCTGTTCTTGTTTAACACGTGCTACTAAAAAATCATGGATGGCTCTGTTTGTTCAAGCATGAGAGAGGAGGGGCTCAAATCCCTATCACTTCACATGTTAGGAGACCACCCATGACCCTGTACCCCCTGCTTCTCACCACATTCTATACCCTCCCCACCTAGCCAGAGTCCTGAGTGTACCTGACAGGCTCAAAAGCTTGGATTTGCAGGTCACAACCTGGCTGCTCTGGAACCAGATGGTCTCTAGGCAACCCTGACATCATTCCCTGGATACCATCCCCGAGGGAGATGAGGGATGGGTGAGTCTTTCTAGCACTCACTCTGAGCTGGTGTTTCTTAACTATAAAGGCAGATTCTTGCATACGTGGCTGTGCATGTGCGTCGTGTCTCTTTGATGGGGCTCCTCATCAGGGATGGGAAGAAGCACATGCAGGTGAAGCCATTTTTAGTCTCATCTCTGCCTGGGGAATTGGTTCTTAATCCTCTGCCAAGCTCATGCTCCCTGCTCCAAGGCCTCTTTATTATAGACCCCAAAGAGGGGTCTATCAAAGAGGAAAAGCAGCTGATTGCTAGGGACGAGTTCAGGGAGCATGGCATGTGCTCATCACTACCTAGCAGGTACTTGTGTTTGGTATCTTCTCCCTAAAGACAGGAGGGTGTTTCCCACATTTCACATTTAATGTACCAAGTGTCATCATAACCTCAAGGATTTTCCTGGGACAGAGCTCCATGTAAAGTTTCAGCACATCGAGGAAGGTGCTCAGCAGACACCTGTACCCACTAGCACAGATGTGAGTATGAAGAAGCAACTAAAAGGCAAACTATACTATATCCTGGGGCAATGCCAGGTACTCTGTTTTGGGGCTTTTATAGTGCAGCGTTATGTTCTCTCATAATAGTCTCGTAAGGCATATAACAGCCTAGTGTACAGGTGAGGAAACAGAGCTCAGCTCGGTTTACTCAGTCAGAAGAGATCAGAGGGCACGTGAACCAGGTTAATGGACCCTCCCCATCTTCCTTCCAGCCTTGGCCTGACAGAGCACCAGGGCTTACAAGCTCCATGCCTTCAAAAGAGCTGAAAATTCCCCAATTTTTTTGGAAATAAGGGTAAAGGCTGCATTGTGAGATTCTGCAGCCCATTTCTGGAACATTCTTTCCTTTCTCTTTCATTTCTGCTCTGTGAGGGGAAGCCCACAGTCCCAGGAGCCAGGACTCCTCTGTAGAGCTGTGTGGCAATGACGCTACAATCCTTTTGGGTAGATATATAGAGAAACTTGTTTTGTCCCCTCCATGAACATTGCTGGAAAGGAACCATTTGAACTCCTACCAACTATGTATCTCGGACATGAAGCCCAGAAGTCAGTGAATTGTAGAACCTTGATCTTAGCTATGCTGGAAACCATGACATAGCACTTTTCATGTTCAAAATTCACTGCTACCACCCCCATGTCATGATGATAGTTGGAGTATGAAAAGGTCTGGGGTCAGAAGAGTCTGAAAAAAATGGGTATAGACCAGGGTTTTCCAGTCTCTTCTCTAATTACATTTGGGGTTGGACAATTCCTTGCTGAAGGTGGGTTGTCCTATGTATGGCAGGGCATTTGGTGGTATCCCTGGTTTCCACCCACTACATGCCAGGAGCATCCCTCCCCTAGCTACGCCAAATGGCAGTCTCTAGACACTCTCAAATATTCCCTGGGGAAGAAAATAATTTCCAGTTCATATCAGTGGATAGTCTATCCCTGAAAGGCTGGTCCAGATAAGCTGTAATGGAGGAAGTGCTTTGCTCCCCTTCTCTGGAAAATGTGAAATTGTTTTCTACATCTTGTCTGAGAGCTGATGCCACCTGGCTTGGCAAGTGGGTAGAAGGAAAGGAGACAGGAGGGACATGTGAAATAGAGGAATCAAGTAAAGACAAAAAGAAAGCTTTTAGAAATAAGAAAGGTTTATTTAGCAAAAGCCACTAGACTAGTGACAACATCCAAGGAGTAAGTGCACTTACATTAACAGAATCTTTTCCCAGAGAGCTGATCTGACAGTTAATGACACAACAGTCTTAGGAAGCAGAGGGCTAGGGAGCAGAGGAGGGGGGAAGCAGTCAAGCAAAGATTTTATAAAGGAATACAAGCCCCAAACAAGGTCAGCTGAGAGAAGTGAGGCTCAGAAAGGGTTTACAGATAGCGTTGACAGAAGCAGAAATATAAGGAATATAGTTCTCAGTCCCCATATGCAAGCCCATCTTGTTGCAGACAAATTCTGTCCTGCCTCTGCAATTGTAAAGCCTTGTATGCCCAAGTGTTTGCTGGCAGCTAGGGCAGGCTATGGCAGGCACCAATAAGGTAGGAGTCCCTGGTGTCCATGTGTCCTCCATATAGGGCAGAGTAGAGGATGAAGAGGAGGAAGGTGGAGTTGAGTTAGCAGAGCAAGAAGCAAGGAAGGTGGAGGACGCTGCTGGGAGATCAGGTCTGTAACATTCCCTGTCCTGTCCATTGGCCTCGGTGGAAGGTCAGTGGCTGGTGACTCCACGAGATTGGTTCTTTGTCTCCCATCTCCACATAACAAGTGTGTACAGATTTGGGTCTTTCTAGGGAGAGTACTAACACATGAATGAATGCTCCAGGGAAAGCCCTGATCAGGAAAAGAAGGTAAAGGAAGGCAGAAACCAAGGGCAAAATTCTTACACAGGATCCAAATCAGCATCAAATAGCCATTCTCTCCATTTCTTCCATCTCACTTCCATTTCTTCCTTTTCCTTCACAAGCCTTTCAAACCCATTTTAGAAATTACCTTTCCTACCTACTTCTCCACCCCATCCTACACAAGCCCTTGTACCTACTCCACTGGTCTCTGGTTTTATCCTTAGCTCCTGCTTACAGCCAGTAGACACTTAGAAAACAAACCACCCACTCTCCCAGACATTAAATCCCTGGACACACAAAGGTCCCAGACATAAGGATCCCCGGGTTAAGTTTATATGAGCTAGGCAGGCTCAGCCAAACTGGATTCCCGCCAGCTGTTCCTTTAGTTTTGTGGACTGATTTTTTCCTTCCCTCTGTATCGGGCCTTCCTTCCTTCCCATTAGAAAATTAATAGAGCTCTGCCTCTTGAACTAAATGCATGTCAGGAAAAGGATGCATATCTATTGTAGATCCAAACACTTTGGTGATCTCCTTTCTCCTCTCATCACTTCTCACAAATCCTAAAGCATATCCATACCATCCCTCATACGCTCACACATATACATATATACATACACCCACATGTGCACACACATACATGCACCCACACAGAGCACCCCAGCTTATTTCCATCAATACCCTGATGCACCAGGGAGTGATAATGTAAAGCTGTGTTAAATTCCTTTTACTTGGACTTTCTAGTTTAAAGAAATCTAACTGTGGCTATAACAAAGAGTAATACTTCCATTTATAGGAATTTTGAAGTTAAGCTGGGGTTGAACTCCATTTGGGAAATTCCATCTTAGCAACTGTCCCTCTAATAATACTGCAGTTTGGCTTATAGCTTGTTCAGGATGAACATGAACTTCCCCTGAATATATGACTTGAACATGTCTCTGCTCTCTGTTAGAATATAAAAAACAAAACAAAACAAAACAAAACAAAACAAAACAAAACAAAAAAACCTCTGTTGACCACTTAAGGTCTTACAGGGGCAAAAGGAACTTTTCCTTATGGACCTAGCCAGCCTATTACTGAGTAGAAACTCCTAGGCAAGGCCTAGATGGTAAAAGATAAAAGTTGCACTTTTTACAGGTGTGCTCAAGGCACGCACCCACAGAGAGATGGGCTGGGGTGGCATGGCTGTGGTCCCTGATCCAAGTGGCAGTGATTCTGAAGTATAGACAGAAACAGTCTCAGCTACCGGCTTGCATCCATTTTTGTTTTTGCAGTAAAAACTGACCACTATTGCCCAGTGGAGGGGACTGGTAGAGAGGTAAGGCAGGGGTTAAGGGTCTCTAAGTCTTGCACAGAGTCACAGAACTGCCAAAACTTCAGTTGGCACAGACCTTGAGGCAGGATACCAGGTACTGGGGCACTTCCCAGTCTCTCATTTATATGAGCTGTGCTGCAGGCAGGAGATGGGTTGGGTCAGGGCTTCCAAACTCAAGAATCAGACCTAAGAGACTTGTGACAGCAATCAACTGTCCTCCCCTGGGTTTTCACAGCAAGGGCCTAAATGATATTAATACTCTCAGGATTCCTCAGAAACAACATCCAACATTCAGCTACAGAAAAAATTGGGATCCAAATTCCTCTATGGTGACTTATGACTCACCAATTCCATGCACACTAAAAGGTAAGGCTTACCTTTTGCAGTGGCTCACAGCATTCAGCCTCTATAACTTCAGCAAGGGCCTGGGGTGAAAATTCTCTTACAGCTCAGGGGAGGGTTAGGCAACTTGTAACATCCTGATATCCAAAAATGAGGAACCTGAGATGGTACCAATTATGGTCTGGACCTCAGAGACAGGAGAGGTGGGGGGTCACTGGGGCATCACTGAACTAGAACCTGACTAGAACCTGACTGCAGCAGTGAGCACAGCAGGCCTTCCAGAAACCTGTAGTCCTGGACGGCACACTGTCCCAAAGCCCTGGGTTCTGGAAGGCCCTGCTCCCACAGCTCTTCAGTCATCAGCGGAAGCACTGATTCTTGCCTCTGGGCATCCAATTTCTTTCCCCATTTACCTTCCAAAGCAAAATCCTGGTCCTCCTTCTTAAGCCCTACCCTCTCACAGCCCTGGGTGTTATCCTCAGCAGCGCCTTCCCTGGCATCTCCACCTGGGGAGCAGCCAGATCTGGCCCCTCAGTATCACGCTGCCACCTCCACCAGCTCCTCGCCCTCCATCTACACGGCGATCTCATCATCCAGGCTGTCACCCAGCTCCTGCCTCTGGAGGACATTGAGCAGGCGTGGCAGCTCCTCCTGGGACCACGAGTCACGCTCCTCGCTCTCGTCCGTGTTGGACTCATACTCCGAGGCAATGCCTGACTCTCGGAACTTGATGAGCTCCAGGCCGCCCAGGAGGGGCTCGCCCTGTGCCAGCGGCCGGGTATCGTCAGGTGGGAGGAAGCGGAAGCACTCCAGCTTCACCAAGCAGTCACGCCTACCTAAAGGGCTGCCCGCTGGGTGGGCAAAGTCAGCCAAGCCGGCGCCCAGCGGCGGTGAGTGTAGGTCCTCTGGCTTAGGGGTCGTGGGGTCGCAGAGTACAGGCAGGGCTCCGGAGCGGAAGGTGATTTCTAGCAAGCTGTCCTGGGAACCCACTGCAGGGAGACAAGGGTGAGGAGAGGCCATGTTAGGTAAGCCTTCAAATGTGAGCTCACTGATTAATCCCTGTAGCTTGGGAAAGCAACATTCTAACAACCTGAGCCCTTGCAAGGCTCTTTTCCTGACTGACTGTAAGCACTTCACCAGGGTTTTAGCTTAACCTAACACCCAACTCCCTTCCACCCTTGCAGCACCTGATGCACCTGGTTGTAGGGAAACAGCTCTCACAGAGCTTGGGGGGAGGACACTGAATGCCTTGTGGAGGGTTTGTGATAGAAAAAGGTACCAACCCAGCCATGCTAAAAGTATGGAGTAATCCATACTAGCTAGCCCTGTGACCCTGAACTTCTTACTTGACCTCTCTGTTTCCTTGCTTCTACAGAGGGCATAACAGCATCTTCCAATAAACGAGCTCACACATTAAAAAAAAAAAAAATCTAGCACAGTTTCTGGCCTAACAGGTGATCAATGGGCATTTGTCAGGTTCTAGTCAACACAGACTCTGAGCATGCCCAGAACCCACCACAGGCAAGCTCACAAGTAAGGCGTGGTGATGTAGCTCTTTTGTCCCCATCTAGCTTAGAGGCGTTGGTGTGCAGGCAGCAAGCATGTCAGGCCAGAGGCTACATAGCCTGCATCACTGACTAGGAGAGCCAACCACAGTTACTCAGATACCTCATCTATTAAATGAACCTATGTTTTTCTATGCAACAGAGTGGTGCAATATATGATGCAGAGGATCAACTACTAAAGTGTGCAGTGTCCCACGCAGTCCACAATGACACCCCTTATGGGCTCAGTCCTTTTGACTAGGAAATTCCTGAGGAAGAAATAGGCTTCCTTGGGATAGAGAGTGTTCCCTGTGAGTAGAGATGAGGATGTGACACTTATCTCCCAGGGATGTTCAAGGCCAAGTCTGGGTAGTGGGTAGAAGGCAGCCAAGATGGGCTGTGATCCTGCAAGTCTGTGATTTTGATTCTGTGATTCTGCCTGTGTTCTCCTGGAATATAAGGGCGCATCATGGCTCCAGTAAAGGACCCTCCCCCAAAGTTTTGGGAAATAACATGCGCTTTCTAAGAGCTTGCTCACAAGGCACTGAAGCAGGATGGGATATTGGCTTACTGGCATTCTGTCCTGACAGCTTCAGCTCCAGCTCCTGCACCTGCTTGACCAGCAGGGAAATGTGCTGGAGCATGTCCTTGTTCTGAAGCAGGAGCTGGTGTACACGAGCCTGGGCCTCCAGTCGTGCTGCAGCCTCAGCAGCCAACTGATCCTTCAGCAAGTGAACCTGCAGAGAGGAGGAGGCAGGGAGACAGAGAGAAGGGACAAAGAAGAGACTCGAGTGTAAATGACAGTTGCCAGCACATGACCAGGACCACAAATGCCCTGTCCATATTCAATTCAAGATGAAGAAACCCTTCATGGAGAATTGGGCACCTGGACTTGTAAATCCTGGAAGATAACCACAAGATGCCCCGTAGAACTCTCTGTCTGCTCCAAAGGCCGTGATGTGTCACTTAGACACCACTCTGGGCCCTATACCAAGTACAAGAGACAGGAAAAGCCCCCACCCCTACCCCCTATATCCTGGTAGTAGCCTTACACTGCCACTATAAGAATTCCTTTAGGCCCAATACAGCACTGCCATGTTGAAGGAGGGGCACTTATCTAACCTCATTTTCTTTCTTTGTTTTGAGACCAGGTCTTGCTATATAACCCTGACTGGCCTGAAACCTACTATGTAGACCAAGTTGGCCTTGAACTTGTAGTGACCTTATTGCCTCTGCCTTCTGAGGGCTAGGATTATAGGTGTGTGGCATCATGTCCAGCTTTAACACTATCTTAAAAAAAAAAGAAGCCAAGTATGGTAGGATGCATGCCTGTGATCTCAATACTTGGGAAACCAAAGCAGGAGGACTGCCACGAGTCTGAGGCCAGTCTAGTCTACATAGTAGCTTTCAGGCCATTCAGGGATACTTAGCAAGACCTTGTCTCAAAATAATTCCTTAAATGCAAAAACTAAACTTCTTACTAGCTAAGATGAGCATCACAACCCCCCCATATAATATTTAATATTCCCTTCCACCTCCTCTCAGAAACATAATGAGACATAAAAAGCAGCACTATATAGTATTTCTAAGTTAGTGAGCTGGTTGTTGTAAAGCCTGCCTTCTCATGTCTGGGTGCCCAATTCTCTGTCTATTCCCTTTTTAGTCCCAATGGAAGCCCCTAGGCCCTTGATTCCTTCCTGGAAGGGGTTGTATTTCTTGAGTGACTCACAACAGGGCTCCTCTGATAACCCTATAAGGGCTGAGGTTGGTATTAAAAGTGAGCACCTCATCCATTCATACCCTTCTCATGGTATAGGAACCATGGCACACTTGGCACGCTCCAGGCTAGTAGAACATGTCTACTCATAGTATATAACCCTCAAGTGGAGATAAAATTAGTGGGGGGAGGTGGGGACTCTTGTCTTGAAGAAACCGAATCACACTCAGTTCTTAGTGTTCACATGTACATGATTATTGTGCTAGGAAATAGATCAGGAGTCTCTGGGGAAGGTTTCAGAAAGTTCTCGAGAAAGGGGATGGATGAGTTTGCTGACTTGGACCAAGTCAGTTTATGGAGAGAGGTTTTCTTGGCCCTAAACCATGGTGTAGATACAGAATAGAGGGGATATAGGATGAAGGAAAAAGGTGAGGGGAGAAGCATTCACCGATTCTCTTTCTTGGGCAAATGCTTTAGATTTCAAAAAGCAGCATGCTCTAGAGATTTTGTCAGGGACTGAAGACACATTTGCTGAGGCCAACCAAGGCACTGTTCAGTCTCCATCAGGACCTAGTACTAAGAAAATTATATTCTTGGGTAGAGTGGCTGCTTCCTTCTCAGCTCAGATTTGAAGACCTGACCTTGCAGTTGGCTCTCCTTCGAACTAAGCAAGGTCACTAATGAGATTAGCTGCCACTTTCTATTAATGGCTCCCCAAGGTTGGACCCATCCTTCCCCCAGGGAGATGATGCCTAAAGAATCTAAAGTAAATCTCTATAAAAGATTCCTAGGAACAGAACTGTTATTTTGGTCAAGATGTTGGTCTCATTTGCTGTTTCATATACACAGGAAAAATTTGGAGATGAGTGACACCAGGAAAAGAGGTGTCAGTCACATTGTAACCTGGGGTCTGAGGTGTCAGTCACATTGTAACCTGGGGTCTGATGTTGGGTGGCTATCAAGCCTATACTTTCCTTGGAAACTGAGGCAAGAAGAAATTTCATCTTGGAGCCCCCTAAATCTTATTGATTATAAAGAACAGGGAAATGGCTGTGAGAGGTTTCCAGGTTTTGTGGAGGTTTCCCCCACAAAAAAGGTGAGCACAATGTTCCACCTGCCTGTACTGTTACTTATATGAATTAAGAATATCAATGAAAGGTATCTACTGGTTAGATCTGTTCATTTTCTACTTTCTTTGAAATCAAATAGAAATATCAGGCCAATGGAACACAGCTTTTCAGTGACTTGAACAGAGAAAGTACAGAACCCTGTACAGCACTAATTAGCATCTGTTGTGGACTTATTACAAACCTCCTAATGCCTTCAGGTCCCAGCATCCCAATCTGTACATCCCAACAGAACAAAACACCAGACCAGCAGCTGAGATGCTGGAGTCTGCTGCTTACTCCAGAGACAAATGTAGATGATTCATTTCTTTCTGGACCTCAGTTTCCCCATTTGTCATCTAAGAGGGCTGGCTGGGGGTTCAGACAGGTAGACATAGTAGTTAACACAAGGGGGGCACTTGCTAAAAGCTCACTGAAAAAAAGTTCCCGTTCCCCATTATGACACCTGAGAATTATGATGGAGTACAGAAAAAGTTGTTTCTTCTTGAAGAAGATATGGGGGCGGGGGGAGGGGGGAAGAGTTAGGAAACTTTTTTGGCAAGTATCCAAGTTCGAAAGGTGAAGTGTCAACACCTGAGAGACCACACTTGAATCCTAAGCTTCCGGCAAAATCCATGGGCATTAAGTGCCATGAGCTAATACCCCAGAGTGTAAGTGCTCCCTGTCCTAGATTAAATGAGAATTTTACCTCTGCAGAGGCAGAGCTGTACTGTTTCAGATGTTCCTAAGCCCTGTGAGCATGGAAAGTACATGCTGCTGTCACTACCCAGACCAGCACTAATGAGCTCCTGCTTCTCTAGCTATCAGAAGTGGCATCAGGCTTGAGGCTCAGACCTCGGTTGTGGCAGTCTAATTTGCAGAATTCAAACCAGGCCAAACGAGGACAATGCAGTTTGGATGTCTTTGAACTCTGAAGCCAAGTACATGTGGATTTGAACTTGAAGTACTGAGATAGGGCAGTGTCAGCTTCACCCTTGGTTTGGGCAGCATCTGTCACTCTGTTTCCCCATTCACAGAAAGGAAGGTACCACGTTGCCCTCGGCCATGGGTATTTATCTTCAGCATACTTTTCTTTCAAAGAATTAAACATTTTTTCACAAACCTGACCACATTAATTTCTGAAAAGGTACATCTGGGTGTTTCCTTTCCAGAGCTGTTTCACCTTGGGCAATGACTATTCCAGTCACAAATTAAGTCGATGGGCACAGCGGGCAGAGTGATGAGGCACTAAGGCCACACTCAGTACTGGTGTCTAGCTTTCCATCCTGATCCCAGAAAAACATGTACAAACATCAACTCGGTTCCTTCCAGCTCGGTGCTGCTTCCCCAGACTTTGATACCCACCCTCAACCCATCCAGCCACCTCAGATCACTGCCCACTCACTTTCTGGCCTACTTGCCTGGACTCCAGCTCCTCCATCAGAAGTGGGGGCAGGGCCAGGCTGAAGTTAGGGAGCGGTAGGCACATGGAAATGGCAGTGGAGAGAACCAAAGCAATTTGCCCCCCCACCCCCACACACCAGACAAGAGCGGAGGCAGGCAGTGCTGTCTCAGCATGCATAGCACCAGGGACTTGGGCAGGGTGCTGGGGACTGGAAGAAGCCACAAGGACAGATGCTACATCTAGGGCCTGGCTGGGGATGCAAAGCACTCGAAGCACTGTTTCTCTAACTATAGCACACACAATTGCAAAGCATAAATAACCAATTACTTGTTTGTAAACAGGCAGAAGTGGCGGCAGGTAGATGGGTCTTTAAATAGCAATACTGAGCTGCACTAACATTTTTCCATGAGCGAGGCCAGAAAGTGGCAAACTATGAACAGATTTGGTCTGCTTAACTGTTGTCAATCAGCCACAGTGTCAGATCAGTCCTGGCGCCAGGCGGGCCCATCACACAGCCATGCAGGCACCAGCTACATCCCAGGTATGATCAAGGTGTGGCTACATTCTCATCCACCCTCTTGAATTTCTGGTCTATGTAAAAGCAGAAAGCTAGTGCAGCCAGGCAAGCTTCATGCTGGGCTAGGAGAGCCTCAGAAGGACTCAGCAAATTCACTATTTACATACTGTGGGATGACCTGGAAATACTTAGGAGCTGGCTAACACCATCTTTGTCCCTATGTGTTTAAGGCCAAGACAGGCCCATTTAAGACCAGCCCTGAAAGAATTGAGGTCAGGCCAAGAGAGATTTTGAGGTCTTAGATCAAGTTAACAACAACGTCAAAGAGAACAAAATCTGGTCCTAAAGGCAAAACCAGATTGGTTTGTGAGAGCAAATGGGTGAGGTACACTTTAAGAGCACACCTATCTGCAAGAAAGTGGGACTTTGTCCTTAGATTTTTTTTTTTTTTAAACTGGGGAGTAATACAAGACGGCTTGGAAACTCAAAAAGAAATGGAAACTATTCCTATCTGAAATGCTGAGATTGCAGTTTTACTCACTGAAATTCCGGGAACTGCTAGTAGTTTAATGAGGAGAGATAGAGACCTTGCAGTTTGCTAGCAACAGAGTCTGACAGAATAAGTGAAAGCTGACTTCACACTGGAAACTGAAATCAGTCCTGCTCCTGCAGAAGGACCAAACATGCTACAGCTGGTCTCTCAGGTGTGTGAAGATGCTAAGATGACCTATCAGGAACCCACCTGCATATCTTACACAGCTGTTTTCATCCAAGGATGGAGACACTAATAAAAAAAAGTCCTTGGATCAAATCCTACAGAGAGAGTAAAAGAGGTTGAAGAGGCTGGTTTGAGACTGAATGAATCCATCTGTAGGACCAGGCAGCCGAGGGGAGATGAGCGGTACAACAGTACCCTGCTGTGTTCCTGGGCAGTCAACACAAGATGCAGACGGAAGGTGGTCAGAGACCAACTGATGGCAGGGACAAGTGGAGGACAATGTTCTAGAAGCCATCAGATGATCTTGTGGTCTAGCTTGATCTGAAGATTCTAGAAGTCTACCATTCTACTCAAAGTCACTGTGCTAATATAGGGCATGAATGTTCTATGGTGACCTTTCATTATGTCACTGCTTGAGCTGCAGGGAACTGTCAGCTATCTCCTATAGATCCTGAATGAATGGGAGGCTTGGGATGTCCAACCTGATGAAATGGCTGGAGTTTGAATGAGGTGCATGAAACAAATCTAGAATGCCATACTGTTCTCTTTGACTCACTGTCTTCTAGAGGCAATTACAACAGGGCAGAGGGATCTTCTGTTAAGACAGATGCTTGCTATGCCAGGAAATCATTCTTAGGTTTTGTCCTGACTGTGGTGGACCTATGGTAAGTCACAGGTTGCACTGCTCTGCACGTCCAGGGCTTCCTTCCACTGCCATGTGGCATACCAGATGTTTGTAAATAATTTTACTTAGCTGAGACTTCAAACTCAAATGCCTTTCTGATAATGCAACATCATGAATACATATCAAACCTTAGATAAATAATTACTAAATAATCTTCTCTTAGATTAATAATTACTTGGTAACTGATATGCTGAAAGAAAATTGTTTGGAGAATGGATCTGTATTCAATGGGAAGCTAGGAAATGCCGACCCTTGGGATGGGCCGTGCTGGAGTGCTCAGGCTTTGTGCTCCTGTCATCCCTTGCAGAGGAGGAGGAGATTCTAAAACTGCCTCACTATCATTAGCCAGAGATGGGCTAATTTGACAAAGAATGATGTTTTTTCCTCCAAATATAAGAAGATATTAGTGACATTTCTCCTCTCTGTCACTGTTTTGGAAACACCTGCAAATCTCACCAATACCGCATATTCTTTGGTTTCAGAGTCAGCTTTGTTTGTTTCAGAGGCTCCCTCCAGTACCTCAGAAGCAGTGACCCACTGACTCAACTCCTCTGAAACCTGGAGCAAAAGATACACACTGGTGTAGGGCAGTGAAGGATGGATGATGATAGAAGATCTTATGATGGTTAGACTGCTGGATGCTTCCTAAAGGTGTACCGAAGAAAGGGGGATTCATTCCACCCAAAAGTCAGAAGAGTATGTAGACTACACAAGGAGGACCAGCCAGTTCTCCCTGCAGAAGTCTGCACCCTGCACTGCAGAATGCAGAATCCTCAAGCTGGTATACACAGCTGTCATTCCAGGTCTCTCCATTATCTTCCTCTACCCACTTAGGCCCTGGCTTCAAAATTCAGCCTTGATATGGAATGAATGCATGTGTCTTCATCATTCCCTGACTTGCCTAGAGTAGAGAGAAAGCTCAGGCTACCAGGCTCCAAGGGAGATAAAGACTGTGGTGCCTTCCATGGAAGTCAAACAGGAAGAATCTACAGAAAGCTGTAAGGATAATCTGTTCACTCTCTTCTACAAAGCAGCAATAGCTCAACCACCCCAAATTCTGTCTGGATCTTGAGAGGTAGGGCCAGTTCCTCTCATATTGCTCAGACTGTCTACCTAAATTCCTATAAGTTCATTGCTAGTATAATGAATTCCTAATGAAACACTTTCATGAATAAGTCTCCACTAGAGACTTAGCTGTTAGGGACAAGAGTTTGGGATGCCAGATCAGTAACCTTTGCAAGGATGCTGGGTATGTTTATACTTTCAGTTCTTTTAAGATTGGCACCACATAGCCACACCTGTCCTGATTCCGAAGCCTTCCCTTCCTACCCCGAACACAAGGAAAGAGTAGGAGGGCAAGGGTGGACTGTGTGCATCTTTTTCCTTGATCAGCTCAAGTCATTATCCAACAACATCCAGCCAAGCCAGCCAAGCCCAATTCGGAGTGAGAGATACATGGGGAACCAATGTCTTTCCATTTCAACCACATTCATTCCCCATCTCTCCCTCTCCCCTTCCATCTCCCGGACTCCCAACAAGCAATGATCCAATAGCATGAGCGATTCCTCAGAGCTCCCTAGGTTTTAAACCTGCCCTGAGCCCCTTGCTAGGGAAGGTGTCAAGCCCATGAGAGTGGAGCCTGTGAAGTAGGGAGGAGGCTGAGGAGAACCTGGGCCACAGCCACTTGTGTCTGCTGCTGCTGCTGCTGGAGAAGCTGCTGGAGGAGCTGCATCTGGTGGTGGGTGGAGAGCGGTGTCCCTGTGCCCAAGCCTGGTGGCTTCGAGGAAGAAGAAGGAAGCAGCATTCGGGGTGAGGCTGTCAGCATGGGCTCCTGAGGATGGGGTGAGACCTGGAAAGAGAAGACAGAGCATGGCACATGGACAGAAGTCACCCTCAAGGTCCTTATTCTCACGGTAATCTTCATGAGAGATTCATGGGCAGAGTGAAACCCATGAGTTAGAGATGCTATATCTTGAATGACACAGGAATGGGCTCCAGGGAAGAAATTCTGGTGCACCTGGGCTTGGACCACATGGCCAGAAAATCATACTGCCACACCTTGGTAACAATTTACCCTTGGGGTGGGAGACAGGCAGCTGATAATGTCTCATTTCCTACCCACCATTTCCAATTATATCCTGTTATTGAATTACTTGATGTTCTAGATTTAGAATCGGTGTCTCTATTCATAGCTACCTATCATGCCACTATGAAAACAGGAGGAAGGCAGCCTCAGTACCCTGCACAGTCCTTCACTGGGGTCTGAGATGTTACTCCCTCGACCATCTCCTGTCACAGTGATTGATCAGGGAAGAACGTTTGGGCATTACAACAAATGACCAGAGGAACCTCTTTTAGCTAGGTGACCACAGTTTCTGTCTCTTCATCCTGGTGGACATGTTCATGCAGATGGTTCCTACAAGTCAGAGTTCAATGTCAGAGAGACATGTTTTGTTTCTGGCAGCTCTGCTGCTAGCCTTTCTTCAGACATATGAGAGGAAGGCACGTTAGGACAAACGGCTATTGCCCCTTTGTAGAGAACTAATGGGCACCAATGGAAATGTGAAGTACTGCCCTCCAAAGTACACAGGCAGTTCCTTATGAACTAGCCTAACCTGAGATGAAAGATGAGGACAGAGGTACCCATGATACAGTGAGCTAGGTGGGAACCCAAGGGTAGCGCCATTCATCGGTAACTTTCCTTCGTTTTTTTTTGGTTTTTCTTTTTCTTTTTCTTTCTTTCTTTTTTTTTTAGCTCAGCTATCTTAAGGTTTGAACTTAGTCTTAGGCTCTTAGGGTTTCATATTAAGAACACTTCAAGGTCTCAGTCATCTCACCTATGGGATGTTAGGCTAAGGATGATGAGACCTGCCCTAAGCTGGTCTCTTGGTTTCTAACACACACTGGGTCAGGTTCCAGACTCAATGGGGCTGTTGTCCAGGAGTGTTAAAATGCATACAACCACTAGATAAGGCAGAGCAGGCTCCAATGGACTGGCTCCATTAGTTAAGTTATGTGGTTATATGCATCATATGGGTCTGCCTGGGTGAGCTCTGCACAAATACCACAGGATGCAGCTGTGCCTGAGAAAGGGCTAAAACATTGGTGGGATCACATGAGGATGACATACTTCAGAAATGAACTCCACAGCACTGTCACATGCAGCAGTGCTGGTATATGGAAGCTGTGCCTACAGAAGTCAAGACCTTCTGAGAGGCAATGAAATAGGCTTTAGCCCTGCTACTGTGTGACAGAGCACCTCTCTCTGAGAGACCTAGGGCAGGTCTCATCATCCTTAGCCTAACATCTTGCATTCAGCAGGAGCTTGGCAAGAGCCAGGAGGCAATTCTGATGACCCGAGGCTGCAGCTGTGACACAGGTTGCTCCCAGAAGCACCAGCACCACATGTGCAGATTATCTGGAAAGTCATTTGCTGCATACCTTGGAGTCTGTATGGGAACCTCCTTCCTTCCCTACAGCATCCAGGTCTGTCACACCGCGGCTGAATTCCAGAACATCATTCCCAGGGAGTGGGACCTCAACAGCATCAATGTCAGTCTCCTCTGCAGTGGCTGTTGAGGCCCTCTCAGCTCCAGTGAGCTGGCGGCCTGTAGGGACAAGGAAGGAAGGAAACAATAACATCAGGAACAATATCTCCTCCTCAACTAAAACGTTAGCTCTCAGTTATGTCAAGCCCAGGCATGCCTTGGGCTTCCTGACATTTTCATAATCCTTTCACTCAAGTACACTAATATACCTCTCCAACCCAGTATGATGTTCCTATTCTAATATCTTAAAATTAAGAAACAAATGGAACACTTCCTTAAGTCTGAGTATGACGCCTTTGTCAGACTGGCCAAGTTTCTATCAATAAGATGTGGAGATTGCAAAAGCAGAACAGTCATCTCCACTTCATCCAGCTCAGGGATAGAAGCCAGCCATGGGAAAGTATCCTGTATGGGAGGCCAGGGTGTAGTGATCTGCCCTGCCAGGCCTCTATGGAGTTGTCAGGCAAACACCAAGCCACCTGGCTCCTGGGTCCAGCTTCATCAATGGTAACAGGGTTCAGTCAGAGGGCCAGGAGCGTTCTATGGCTAAGCAATTGAGGATATGGAGAACTGAGCCCCAAATATCAGTCTCTACTCTGGGGTACCCTCTGATCCTTCCAACAGAAGCATTCACAGGAAAACAAGAGATGGGGCAGCAGCTTCTCCAAGTCTCCTTTCTTTCCCCTGAGGACGGAGACCATGTCTTTGAGTATGTTGCTCAAAACACATATATCAAAGTACTACTGTTATTTTCTTTATTTTTACTTTTTCTTCTGTTTGTTGGTTTCTCTAAAAACAGCTGATAATTCTTGAGCATACAGGAAATATTTTCTTGCTCTGTATTTAGAATTAAGCTTATCACTGTTTTTTGTTGTTGTTTTGGTTTGTTTTGCTTTGTTTCTGTTTTCCTGAGAGGAGGCTTTACTCTGTAGCCCAGGATGACCTCAAACCTTTGCTGATTCTCCTGTCTCTGCATCCTGAGTGTGGAGTCTGCAGGCACACACCACCATGCCTTGTTAGATTCACCACTCTTGTTTTCAAATATCATTTCTTTATCGTTTTCAGAGACCAACTAGCTGGAAAATGGAGGATGATGAGAGCAAAAATACAGAGTTGATTCCTTAATGCTGGAGCTAGCCCAGCAACCAGGTCTCAGTCACGTGAACTTGTAGAACAAGTGGTTGTAGGTCCTTCCTATGCAAACATCCCATCATCTAGGGAAGCAAGCCTGGTATTTAGAAGTCAACAATATGCCTGGTTTCCCTCCTAGCTGCTCTAGGAACTGGGAAGATGGCCCTTCTCAGGGGCTGAAGGTACGTAACAGAAAAGGTAGTCTTGACTACGGCGTGCTGGTGCAGTGTTTCTGCTTCTTGGAGAGCTAACAGGCAGGGATCCCAGAAGCAGCCTGCTGTACACACTCTCCTGCACCCAGAGGTGACCTTGATAGTCAATCAGGGTTCAGAGGGGGATGGGGAGGGGGAGAGAGCACTGATGGTCACCATGGCTATTTTTCAGTAGGTGGATGGGCTGGGAACTAAGCATCTGGTCTTCTATGCCTGTCTAGGACTAATCAGTATGAAATAGGAATTTGCTGGGCAAGACAGATTTCTAATACCATCAGGAGTTGGGTTCCTGTAGCCCTCTCTGCACCTGTGTCTCAGGGCACTTTTCATATGGCATTGAATATGACTGGTCATCTACTTTCCCTTCTGGATTTAAGGTCAGGGCTATAGCCCATGCACCTGTTTCCTAAAGATCTGGCTCAGAGAAGGTTTCAATCTCTGTCAACAAAGGAAATAGTGTTATGGCAGGGTTGTATGGCAAGAGAATAGGCTATAACAGGAGGCTACCTGTCCCTTTCCCCATCCCTGGAGATCCTAATGAGGACCATGAAACTATGGACATGGAGGGTCTGGACATGTCTTTAAGAAGCCTCTCTGAGAATCAGAAAACCCCTCTGGTTCCAGAACTGCTTCTGAAGGAGTATTTGAAACCCAAGCTGCTCACTCTGTCTAAAGTAGCCAAGTTCATAAACTAAAGTGAAGTAACTCGATCGAAACCACCAGACTGCTTTCTGAGAGACTCCTGTGGCCCAGCAGGTACTTCCATTATCATGCTTAGAGTCTTACTGTCTTGCTGGGTGCACATCAGTAGAGTAACAGATCTAGTCAGGCTAGGAAGGGGAAAGCTGAGGTAGGTGCTAGATGGAGGCCATTGCTATTGTGATACCTCTTAGCATCTGGGATGACATGAAGTCCAGAGGAGGAGCCTGCCAGCAGTCTCCTTTAGGTCCTATCAGATAAGGAAGAATGTAGTATTTATAGCTGTTCCAACATCAAGAAGCCCAAGGGACAAGAGATGGTACAAAATTATGGGCCAGGGTACTATGGTTTCTATATTGTAAAAGGAAGGGAAGATGGGGTATGAGGAGGTGTTGCTTTCTGAATTGCTTATTTAAACCATTCCTACCTGACACACTCAAAGCCACTTGATAGATTCTTGTTTCATTCATTTGTTTGATATGCATGTATCGAGCACTTGTATATAACAGATACCTACTCATCGCTGAGAATAAAGATGAACAAGCCTCAGTGCTTTTCCAGCCCAATGGCAGAAACAGATGTAAACTCCAGCTGCTGCCTGAGGTTCTAGGTGTCACCTATGAGGGTGTCTAAGGAATGCGGAGGGATGATACAGAGGAACTTATAGCAGGCAGGGTTAAGGGAACCCGAGCAGTGAAAAAGTGGTTCCTGAAGGAGGGGAGGCCGCAAAGGCAGGTGAAGGGCAGGGAGGGTCACAGGAGGCCTTCTAGGCAGAGGGCAAGGCAGGCACAAAGACTAAGAGGTGTAGACACCCACAGCTTGTCAGGGACACTGTAAATAGCTTCATAGGGAAGAACTTGATACAAAGATGAGCTAGGATTTTATCTTGAGACTGAAGCAGGTAAATACCAAAAGATTGTCATTCTTTATACTTTTACACTAGAAATGCTATGCAGGACAGATGCAGAGGGGACAAGGCAAAGCAATACTATAGGTGAGAAACAGGAGCGCTTAATCTAAGCAGATGGTAATGAAATGAGGGGGAAGATTTGAAGCATCTTCAGTATTCAGAATCACAGGGCTTGCTGACCAACTGTCAGTGACATGTGGGTGGGGAGAATGTGAGAGATGAGTTTTAGATCTTATGATGAAACTATCATCCTATATGGAAAAGTCAGGAGGGAGGATTATGAGTAATGGGACGAATTCAGTTTTAAACCTGCTGAAATGGTAAAACTAAGTGTAAGAGTCAAGTGAAGATATATCCATAGGCTGCTGGATACATATTATGGACTACACATTTTTCCTCTCCCCAAATTCATGTGTTGAAGCCCTAACCTCTGACATGACAGTATTTGGACAGGGTTTTTTGGGAGGTAACTAGGTCAGGAGGGTGAGGCCCACAAGTTGGGATTAGTATCCTTAAAAGAAGAGACATAAGAGATCTTTCTCTTTCTCTCTGCACATGAGGACACAGTGAAAAGGCAGTTGGCTGTCTGCAAGTCAGGAAGTTGTCAGCAGGAACAAAAGTGGCCAGAACCTTGACCTTGGATGTCTCAGCTTCCAGAACTGTGAGAAATAAAAGTCTAATGGTTAAGCCACCACAGTGTACTGTATCTTGTTATGGTAGCCCAAACAGACTAAGCACATGAATGGAGAGGTCAAGAAAGGTCTAGCCTGGAGACAGACATTTGCTGAAACCATGGGAAATCAGATAAGATCATAGGGACCAAGTTCAGGGGAAGCAAGAAGAGAGGGGTCTGCAGAGGATGCTGAAAACAGCTAGCAGAGAAAAAGAATAGGAATACATGAGTCAAAAACCAAAGCTGAATAGACAGAAATAGAGAATGCAATGGTGGTTCCCATGTGTGGAGGTGGGAGATGTAGGCAAAAGGTGAAAGGACACAAAGTTGCAGGAAAGCCAGATGAGTAGTCTGAACTCTAACTACTACACCACGAGGACTCTGGTTTACTAGTGTTATACTCAGGGTTTTTGCTAAGAGTGCATTTTAGGTGCTCTTGCCAAACACACATAGGAATTATATATGTATACATGAATGTATATATGCTTACTTTTTTTGGAGACAGAATTCACGTTATGAAGCCCAGATTGGCCTTGAATTCATGTCAATCTTTCTGTATCAACTTGTTGAGTGCTAGAATTGCAGGTGTGTGTCACCATGCCCAGTTTTAAAATTTTTATTACATGAATATACACATGTATAGATCCATATCATAGCATGCATATGGAGGTCAGATGACAAGCTGTGTGAGTCGGTTCTCTCTTTCTACTATATGAAGTCTGGGAATCAAACTCAGGCCATTAGTCTTGGTGGCAAGCACCTTTACCTACTGAGCCATCTTTCTAGCTCCTCATGGGCTTTATTTTTAAGAAGCTGTTCCAAAGAGCTCCTAGTTCATGCACATGCTGAATGGTTGCCACACGGGAGGAGGCGCGCCTCCAAGGAAACAGGATCTCTTCCAGGAAACCCTCTCCATGAGGGTCTAAGAGACAGTGCAGGGTACAAATAAATAAGAGGGAAAGAACAGTGGATCCACCTGACTCTGGGCCCTAGGGAGGGCCAAAGGCAACGATTGCCAAAACATAAAAAAAGAGCCCCACCCACTAAGCATAGGGAACGGGAGAAGAGTGAGCAAGAGAAGAAAAACAGGGAGAAAGGGAGGGAGAGAGGAGGGTGAAAGTGAGTACCATCATTAAAAGTCCCATGGAATCCCAGAAGAGCAAGTGCTGACAGGACATCAAAGAAGACAGAGAGCCTCCAGGACTTGCACTTTTCAATTCCCAAGGGTAAACTGTACAAAAAGGGCCTGCCATCCCATTGCAGGCAGGACTCCTGGGAAAGATAAATGCTGCATTCATTGGAAAGCTCCAAACACAAAGGCCAGATGCTAGCAAACTGTCAGCTCTCCTCAGGACCTTCAAGGTGCCCTGTTCCAGGGGAAAGCCTTCTGGGAAAAAGCAGTTATTAAAAGAAACAGTTTATACGCACCCAAAAT